CGGGACCTGAGGCGTCCTTTGGCCTCCTGACCGAGCTCCCCTTTCTCTTCGGCCGGGATGTCTCATGGGGTCCCCGCTGCGGGAAGCATTTTGCAACGAAGTTCCTCTTCCGAAGGAACCCTGCAGGTAAACCGAAGCGCGATGGGGCGCGGAGGGGAGGGCAGGGGAGGAGGGGGTAGAAAAGTTGGACAGACGCGCCCGGCCTCGAAAAAACTTCCTTCTGCGGTTCAGAAAGTGCCCTGGAATCGCGCTGTTCAGATCACGACGTCCACGACTTTCTGCGTTTGCGGGGCAACTCTTTCATCCTTGTCGTTTGGACACGCCCGATCTCGCTCGCACGCGGTGGCACCACGAAAGGACTGGAGTGCCGGCGCCCTTCCCTCGGAGGAAAAGGCTTTTTTCTAGGTTTCGGATAGCAGAGAGAAGGAAACCACAGAAGGAGATAGAAGAAGTGTGTAAAATTATGGATCGCGCCGCATGCCCGACCTTTCCCCTTCCCTTCTCTTCCCTTTCCCTCCTTATTACCAGAATTTGCTTCATTCAGAGAAACCAGGGACGTAGGAACTTCTAGTCAGACAGAAGGGAGAAACCGGCGGGACTTCCCACTGCTTGAAATGAATTTAAAATTCTGCAATGGGGGGTCTTTGAACAAATTCATCTCTCAACAGCAGCTACTGATCTTGATGTATATAAATTTGCCAGCAGGATTTTACAGGTGGAGAGTGGCCAGGCCAGCCTTCACCTACTTGTCATAGGTAGGATGGAGCAGGGGACAAAACTAACATACCCAGATCCTGCAGGCTGACTTCTGTCCTCTGGTAGGCCTCTGTGGGGTTCCAGACTAGAGAGCAGCTTTGTCTGATCCAGCAGAGTTTTGATGCCCTTAATCTTCCTGGTTACTCAAGATGCTGTCAGCCCCCCAGCTCTGTTATCTGAACAAATGAAATCATTGAAATCCCCCAAAAGGCAGGCCCTATTTGAACAGTGAAGAACAAAGTCATTGTGTTATTAGTGTGCGTCCGATTAGCTTAGTACTGTCTGTACCAGTCAACTCAATCTGGCACGCTGTAGATGTGTTGGATTCAAGTTCCCATCATCCCCAGTTGAAGGTTGAGGAAAACTGAAGTACATTGACTGGCAGGAGTCTCCAGAGTTCAGTAAGGGGTCTTTCAGAGGCCAGTTGGGAGAAGGTAGTGGTTGAACCGAGCATATATTCTAACTTGTAGCAAGTTGTTAACAAGCTTGTTAACTATATTGAATATACTGAAACTGCAAGGCTATCAGGTTTGCACTGAAAGAGAAAAATGGGAGGTGGGGACTTTTTTTTTTCCTGAGCAGGAAAAATTATAACACGAGAACGTCAGTAACAAATGGGTGTTCCTTGTCCTTGTATGTAGTGAGCAAGGCAGGAGTGGGACAGATTAGTAGAAGGAAGTCAAAGATGAAATAAAGTAATCTAGCAGGACCAGGGATCCATCTTCCTTTTCCTTAATGAGGCTCCTACTGTACTTTATGCCGCCAGTTTAAATGATAATAATAATAAATCGCTTCTATTGGTATGATAATAAACTTTATCAGATCTTTTGACTGATTATGTACTGAACAACAACTCCTCTAAGAAAAAGCTTAAAGGTGGCATTTCAGCTCTTGAAAGGTAAATAAATGGTACAGTACAGGCTGAAGTGTTACGGTCAGATATAAGTGTAACTGATTAAGTTTACTGCTACCGAACTGTGTACACCAGTTTTTCTGTGTCCCGTAGCAGTTTGTCTATGAGCCCAAGTGGTAGCTTTGAGGTTGACTTTCTCACACTCTCTTACCTTCCTGTAGGATTAGGGGGTCACAGAAAGACTTTCCGGGGGCCTCATCCCCATCTGGGCTGTGCCAGTCACAACTGCCATAAGGATTTGTTTAATTATTTATTTACTCTCTAAATTGCCATGGTCCTCCCTGAATTGGATCAGTATAATACGAGATGGAACATTGTTATGGTTCAGTACTATCTTCATGTTTTGGGTTGTGCCCGCAAAAGGGCATGGAAACTTATCTAAGTGTAATATGTAGTTGATCCCAGCCTGAAATCCCATTTCTCAAGAGTTTTCTTATGCAAAAGGCATTTCCCAATTTTCCTCTCCTATTATTTGAGGTGCTGCAGAATTTTTTTTTTTTATGTGATTTGGCATTTTTCAACATTTGTGTATACGTATGCTTTCGAATCAGTCTTGACTTCTGGCAATTACAAGGGCAGATCCCTGCAGTTTTCTTGGCAAAATTTTTGGAAGTGGTTTGCCACTGCCTTCTTCCTAAGGCTGAAAGAGAGTAACTGCCCCAAAGTCACCCAGCTGGCTTGTGTACCTTAGCCAGGATTAGAACTCATGGTCTCCCAGTTCCAGCCAAACTATCTCTCATTTTTACACTTACGTGATATGAAATGGAGGAGGATATTGGTGAGCGTCCTCCCACCAATACTCAGCTCTGTCACTCTGTTTTCTTCTTGGCTGCCCCTGCCCATAATATGAAGAACCTCCCTAGGAGGAGATTCTTCCTGATACTTCCCCTGGGATTTGACCAAGGATGAGAAGGCAGGGAGACTCAGAGCACTGCAGAGTATAGGATGATTCAGGTCATTTAAGATATTTAAGATAAGGGTAAGAACTCCAACTGACCTAGGAGAATTTCATTGCCCTACTCCCACCCATTGCTCTCCTGGAAAAAAATGGCTTTTTGAAAGCTATTGGTTTTTCATCAGTTGAACATGGTTTAAAACCTTCAAAGCAAGTGTTTGGTGGAGTACAAGATGTACCATCTGGCAACTACTTACATCTGCCGTGGTTGGGAAGGCCATGCTTGTGATATCGCCAGCATCACTTGTAATGTCTTCTTGCTTTGGGGTGGGGTCTTGGGCATTTCTGAGGACGCTTGTGTGGAAGCAATTACCAACCTCTCCAGGTGGCTATCATGCCACTGGAGACCACAGACATAACAAGGCGGCTTGTTGATACTTGACATGTCTTACTGGACTTGAGGTGGCTATTATCCTGTTGTTTTCTTGAATGAATCAAATCTTAGTTATTATTCCAGATGCTGGATGGACAAACCAGAACTAGTTCTGTCTTTCAGGGTGAAGCAACCCGCTTCTGATGGTGCTGTGAAGGTGGAGTGATAGACTTATGCTTTAATTTTCTGGGCAGCTCCTGAAATAATAATGTAACAGTACAACATGATAGATGTTTAAAATTTAACATCTAGAGCATGAAGTCAAAATAAAACCAATAAGAGGAATTGCCAGCAGTGTTAGAATCTAAACAGCAGCAATGCATTTTGAAAATAGGACAGAACATTGTTAAAAGCCTGGGGAAATGAAAGGTGAAGTCAGGAATTCATGTTCTAAAGAGGGGCCTGGAAGATCTTCATACTAGCAAGATCTCCCAACAGTGCTCCTGTGGTTATACCTTTTCTCAGAACAGACTAGGCCTCATGCGGTCCATTATGATGCTTTATACAAATCTTGAGATCCTTAACTAGAGCTGGGAGCAAAAGGCAGACACTTAAAATTAAACAATATCAAGCATATAATGTGTTTGGAACATCAGCATCCTTCCAGTATAACAATATAACAAGTTTTATTCACCACTGGCATTTTCCCTCCTGTTTCAGCCATATATTTTACAGGGGAGGGATCGTTTTCTTCTTTCTCTTATTAAATACACGTTGGTCAGGAATCCCCACTAATCTGCAAAACAGATCTCTCTATAGATTCTGAGCCACCTTCTACTCATCACAGCTCTTTGAAAGATACTTGATTGCAATGTGATTTTTCCCATAGCAACCCCCATTGCAAAGAGTGAATCAAGGAAGAGTAGCCTTCAGTTCAGCCTTCCTTGTCCAATGCACACGTCATATAGAAGAGTTAGTTTAAAAATAAATATACAAAAAAAGTTTTCATCAGTGCTGGTGTAAAAATTTGTCTGAGGGAGATTCTCACCCCCAAAAATTACTGGTTATTGAAAGATTCATTAAGTCGAATTGCTTGCCTATGAGGTGGTGCATTTATTCATGAAATCTACAAATACAGGATAGGCATAGGATGTTATGTATATCTTCTTTCTCCCAGAAGATAATGTGGTTCTCAGATGGAAAAACATAGATCCTTACCTGCCTGCCTTCCTGTCTAATCCAAATAATGTACCCCAAATAATAAACCTTTTTGTGCAATTCCTGCTATATATTCGTGAGAAATAGTTGTCACATTTAAAGCAAGAATGAATAGAATAAAAGATATACAGATACCATCTTACCTACAAATGTCATACACTGAACCATTTGCCTTTGTGAGCCAAACAGTCAAAACTGAGAGGAAAATCCAAAATGTTTTTGCACCTCTCTTTCACTTCCATGATTTCCTTTTGCTTTTCTTTGTCCTTGATATTTTGCTGGGAGGGGGCTCTATAAATTGTGATAGCAATAATTTCTTTAGGAGCTACCTTTTACGGTTCAGCTCACACGAATGCCTAACTATAAACAAACGCCTTTGGAAAATTAGATACCTTACTAAGTAATCTATGAGTAACCCCCTCCAATTTCAAAATACATTTGATGATGATGATGATGATGATAATGACATCCATCTGACTGTTCCATGTCACTTTGTGATTCTGTCTTGTGTTGTTGCTGTCCTTAATCTGATCCATAGAATTCAGCAGTTGATGGAACTTTGTAGTTCTTTCACTCTTTGAAACATCAAGTCAATACAGGTCAAAATATTTCTTACTCATCGATATAAATCTTCCAGGAAAAAAAAATATGTATTTCTTGCTCATTGTGAAAAGCTCTGTCCCTCGTGGCTTTTTCCATGAAGGACACGTACAGTAATATGATGGAGATGTGTCTGGAATGCATCTGTAGATCATCTACTCCTATACTGAGGCTAGATTTAATATCAAAATGTATCTGCCTATGCTTGTCAAGTCTGCTCTTCAAACCCAGGATATTCTGAATTGGATTCCACAAGCAGCTTAGATATAAATGGAAATAGTGGCATTGTTCTTACAGGACACAAAATATGATGTAGGCAAGATGATAAAAGCAGGCATGTAAACTGTCAACATGTGAGTTATATAGAATTTCTCAGACATTAAAACAAAAGTATAAAATAAAACAAGAATATTGTTGTATTGGATGTAGCAATAGCTAATTAAAACTCCAGTCTTATCAAACTACATTCTAAACACACATTCCTGCTTCTGAAACTAGAATTGCATGCAATTCAGTATATTTTAAATACCACTATACCATATAGTATCTACCTATCTATTCATCCATCCATCTCACTGGTCACAAATATAAAACGTATATTATCTGCAAGAGTTTTAAAATTATTAAAATTTTATTAAAATTATTCTTCTAACTGGTGGTTGTGATCTCTTGAAGTGATCTGGTTTTACTGAAATGTCCTAGATGTCACTTTATGGCTCTACTCTTTTTCATACTAAAAACGCTTCTTTAAAAAAGCAGTGAAACAGGGAGAGATGAAAGAATGGCTGAGCAGGGCAAAATCATGAGTTAAATTGGGAATGTTCAACATACCCAAGAGGGATTTCCCCTTGGACATGCAAAACATTTACCATCTTAGTAGAGCAGAAATCCCACTACATATCGCAGTTTGTCTGGGTTGCTCCCCCAAATATGATTCAGACATCTTGTGTTTGATTCACGATTTTTGATTTAATTATGCCATACTCTTTCTGAGCCCGATTTTCCTAAAATTTGTTGCTCCAAGAGCTCCTGGGATCACACTTTAGAAATTGCGCGGCAAAATGGCATCTTCCTTCCTTCCTTCCTTCCTTCCTTCCTTCCTTCCTTCCTTCCTTCCTTCCTTCCTTCCTTCCCAGTTAACCAACTTAACTATTCTCTCTACCTATCCCAATTGAAATGCCTGAATGTTTCAATCCCACCCCTCCTGGCATCGCTAATCTGCCTGGTGATCTTCCCATTACCTTCCGCTCCCTACCTCTCTTTAGAAAGAAATGGGGCAGAAGGCAATTGGATCTGCTTTGCTTGGAGTCTATCAGCAGTGGCCGCTAAGGGGAGGTAGAGAGGACAAGGAAGAGACTGGGAAGATCAGGGATATGTCCTTGGTTTTTTTCTTGCCCTCTCACCCAATACTTCTGTCTTGAAATTGCATATTTCAGTCCTGCATCTGGACCAAATACGTGTGTTTCATCTAGGCATGCTCCACTCAAACCTGGCTATTCCATGCATCAAATGATTCATACATGGAATATTTTGCACACCAGTTACCCAAATTTGGGCCCGATGTCTCTAACCCTACAACATACCCACTGAACATCATTTTCTTGTGATTCAAAATGGTATGTACATCTGTGTCACCTTCTCTGAGGATATGTCTACAAGGATTGTGCATGTGGAACTTGTGTCTGTAGTGCATATTAATAGCTATTTCTAGTGAGAATTTAACATTGATCAGCAAAGGGTGTTGCACAATGCTGGGTTATGCACTTTCTCTGCAACTAAATCCAGAGTGATTTGAACAACTATTTTTTGTAGACAGGGCCTCTCTACTCAAAAGTAATTTCATATTTTCCAGGTGTACTGGTCTGCAACCTTCAAGTGCTTCTACATGACAGCTCCTAGAACTATCAACAAAAAGCATTATGGAGCTATTTTGTTGCAGGTAGTCCTTGCTTAGCAACTGCCTCATTTAGCAACTGTTTGCAGTTACAATGGTGATTAAAAAGTAACTTTGTGACCAATCCTCACATTTATGACCTTCACAGATCTGTAAAGCAAAGGAAAGCTGAAGTAAGATCATAAGCACAGTCACGGTATCACTTAGCAACCACTTCACTCAATGACCAAGTTGCCAGTCCCAGTTGTGTCGCTAAATGAGGACTATCTGTATTTCAATGGATTTTCCCTCTGGGGAGAAATTAACAGAGAGTTATTTGTACATATTTTCCAATTATTACAAATCTTGAACTGATTTCCCATCAATAATTAAAATTCAAAACATAAATTTAGATTAAAACAGTACAAAACAGCATAAAATAACAAATTCAGTTTAAGAGTGAGGAAAACTCTTTATGTATATAGTCTTTTCATATAGTATGATTTTTTTAGCTAATTTAATGGATATTTATATTGTTTACTGTTTTTAACTGTTTGATTTTAATTGTGAGCCACCCAGAGTCACCCTCTAGGGGAGATGGACGGCATATAAATTTAATAAATAAATAAAATACATAAATAAATAAATGAATAAAAGGAGAATATATTGGTATATTGGCAATGTCTGGCAATATGAACTTCTGAATGGGGAAGGTACTATGTACAGTGCCTTGGGCTCCTGGAGGAAAGGCAGGGTATAAATCTAATGAATGAATTAAGGATTCTAGAGTGAAATAGTCTGAACCTCACAGGTAGCTGGTAGAAAGGCATTGGTTGCATTCACATGACACAATCTGAATTGAATTAGCCTATTTTCTAAGCAAATGGACTCAGATCACACAGCACGCTAAGCTGCATAACATTAATAAATGTAACATGTTGGGCAAATGCAGCCAGTGGGTCTTTAACTGAGTTGATTATGCCTACTGTGTTGTGGCAGCACCACTAACTCAGCCTGGCCTTATGTTACCTCACAAGAGAATAAAATAAAAGACCTTGGGCGTATTTGCTAGTATTTCTTGGAAGAAAGATAGGATCCAGGTGTGATCAGTGCATTTCAAAATCTTGATGATTTCACTTCCTTCCTTCTGTTTTACTTATTAAAATAACCAGTCCAATTTCCCAGGAAAAAGACAGCAGAGTCTGGCTCGCTCACTTCCTCTTCCTAGGAAACCCTACAAACTATCATTGTGGGTTAGCTATCTTTCACTCAAAATGCTCAAAACCTGAACCACAGTGCAACTACAAGAGTTCTTGTGCCAAGTCTTTGCATTAATATACCCACAAGATGATGTGTAAGTTACTTTTTCAGTTGATATAATGTAAATATCAATATCTGCCACTCTTGGAGAATGTGACCAGGGCTCGCATGGCTTTCTGTGGTGTGTTTGTCAATGTATAGCTTCCTTGACTTTCTGGATGTTAAGGGATTTTTTGAAAAAAAAGAAAGAGAACTAAATCATTAACTAACCAAGCATCTTCTGATTTTATTGACCAGAGTCATGATGATGATGAAAGAAGAGTAAGACGGAGAGAGAAGAACAGAGTCGCTGCCCAGAGGAGCCGAAAGAAACAAACCCAGAAAGCAGATAAACTCCATGAGGTGACTGATGCACTGGCCTCCTCTTGATCAGCAATTAGTGTCACTATCAAACACAAACAAGTCCTGGGTCACCTTAAGAATTAACAGATTGTTAGTTGCTTAATTCAGGGGCATCCACAGTGGGGGGAGGAGTAAGAAAGACAAGACACAGAGGGTGTTTGAAGGTCCACCTCTTTTATGTGTGACACATATGCAACACACATAAAAATGGTGGGGCTTCAGTTGCCATCCTGAGAGAGAGAGAGATTTACCTTCACACAGATCCTTTTGGTGTAATAAGCTTTTATGGACCAACACCCCTTTCTCAGGTGTAGGAAATGTCATCCTCAGTTAAAAACTGAGCACCGATCTAAATTTGCGTGATCAAGTTTTATTCATAAAGGCAGCCTTTCCAAGTGAGCATTCTCTAGATGGATCATGCTACAGTGCCTACATCAACATCTGGTGACCCAGTCTGGGAAAGGCTGAGCTAGACAGATGCTTAAGCAGAGACTACCAAGGGGATCACCATCTTGCATACAACATGCTGTGATTGGCGGTATGCTGCTTCTGACCACAGAACATTCCCATACTTAGATGCTGTTCCTCCATCAATACTTTTCTGAATATGCTTAAGCTACTGTCTGTCACAAACACTTATGGCACTGAATTCAACTGGATATAGCTCATTAAAAAGGACAGGTTTGTCTGGCTTTACCTGCAGCTTATCAATTTCAGGAAATGACAGATTTGTCGTGCTCTGAATCAGGATTGAGTTGTTTTCTCTCTCTACTTTCTCTCCACATTGTTCATGGTTTTATAAACCCCCATTGGGTCTCCTTTTGCTCATCTTTTTCTTCAAAACTATACAGTTTTGACCTATACAGTTAAAGGCTTTATTCAGACAACCAGATGCTAAGGAGAAAGGGCTGTCCTACATTTAATAACTCTGTAGAATAAAGGCAGGGAAGCTTCATGGATGAGGATGGGCTAGAGTCTGGATTTCCCCAGTCCTAGTCCAACATCTTACCCACTACATTACGTTGGCGCTTATGCCATGTATTCCTGGCGTGAGAAGAGCATGAGTAGGGACTTTCAGGTACTTAAAAGCTCTAGATGTAAAATTCCTGATTCAATAGCAGATTCAGTAGATCTTTTGTTCTTAAGGAGATAGTCCATTCATTGTGTGCTTGGGACTGGACTTTATAGCTAAAACCCAGGACTCTCCCCCTGCCCCTGCCTACATGCAGAAGGTCTCGTACATATGAACTTTCAAGTTGCGAACTTCGGCTGATACGAACAAGATGGACCCAGAAGGTGGACCCAGAAGTTGGGCCAGAAGGCAGGAGAAAGTGTGCCAAAAACTAACCCTTTCCTGCCATCTCCTGACTTCCAGTGCTGACTTCCGGTCCTGACTTCTCGCATGGTCGGTTGTGCTTGGTGTGTGGCGACCACAAATTGCTTAACTGCAAACGTCTGCAATTAAGTGCAAGAGTCCTGAAGGGGAGGGGGGTAGCATGAAGAAGCAGCAATCCATTACGATGCTCACGAAGATGGAGATATTGAAGAAAATGGGAGGGGAGAGAAGATGGCGAATGTGGTACGTTCCTACGGCATGAATTGTTCCACTATTTGAACGATCATTAAGAACAAAGACAAGATCATGGAACATGTGAAAAGTTCAGTGCCTATGCAATCCACAATAATATGCAAGAGGAGAGGAAAAGTAATGGAAGAGATGGAGGTGCTGCTCAGTATGTGGATTGAAGAGCAGCATCAGCAACATGTGCCGCTTAGCCTAATGATCCAGGAGAAGGCTAAGAGCTTATTCCATGACTTACAACAGAAGGCTGGTGAAGGTGCTGCTGAAGAGTGTTTGCTGCAAGCCATGGGTGGTTCCACCACTTTAAGGCTCGTATGAATCTTCATAATGTGAAAGTCAGTGGTGAGGCAGCAAGTGCAGACGAGGCTGCAACCAAGGAGTTCCTGGAAACCCTCAAGGAGATCATTGAGGAAAATGGTTATTTGCCCTAGCAAATATTCAGTGTGGATGAAACGGGGCTTTATTGGAAGAAAATGCCAGATAGAACGTACATCAGCTGCCGAGGATAGGCTAACTCTGCTGCTAGGTGGCAATGCTTCTGGTAACCTGAGCCTAAAACTGCTGCTAGTCTACCACTCTGAGAACC